CAACATGAATCTTAGACCTTCCTCTGAATTTTTTACCCTTTTTTGGGTTTGTTCTTCAATCTTAGTGGTATTGAGAGACTTGTGTTCCAGCTCACTGATTCTTCCTTCCATCTCATCTATTCTACTCCTCTGCCCTTTCAGAGAGTTTCCTATTTCTGCCATTTTGTTGTTGATTGTTTGGACCTCTTTCTGTAGGTTTTGGATTATTACCAGTGCTGTATCTATCTTGTTCGATTGTTCCCCTAGTGCTTTTCTGACTTCTTCCTTATTTTTCTCAATTCCATTGTAAAGTGTTTTGAAACATTTTATAATCATTTTTCTGAATTCTTTCTCATATATTTCCAAGGCCTGCCTTCCTTCCAGCATGGAGAGAAGGTCTACTTCTGGTTCATTTGTCTCAGATATTTTATCTTTTTTCTGGACATGTGCCGATATGGTCATCTGCTTTGGCTTCTTGGACATGTTTAATATTTATCTGTGGCCCTAATAATTAAGTATGTATTTTGGTAATGTTTTATGTTTTCTGATTGCCTCCAGGAAGATGTGATCATGTTGTGGTCTTCCGTTTTCTCTCCTCTTATTGCTTAACTCAGAGTAACTTTTACATGTGTTGCCTGTTTCCCTGGTTTGTGGCAGATGGTATTGGTTCTTGTCTGGATTTTGGTGTTTTATAAAGTGTTATTGCAGCTTGGCTATATGGCAGCAGTTGCTGACTCTTTTCGTGTAATGTAGGGGGACAGAGAGTCTTCCAATAGCAGAAGGGAGGCTATGTGACGGCCAAACAACACCAGTCGGGTAGAAGCCAACACCAAAACCAAAATCGAAATCAAAAACAAAAGCGGAGTCCTCCGATAGCAGAAGGTAGGCTATGTGACAGCCAAGCAACACCAGTCGGGTAGAAAAGAAAACCATAAGCAAAAAAAAAAAACAAAAATAGCAAACAATAGCCATAATGAGAGAAAAACAAAGCAACACAACAACAACAAAACACAAAACAGAAAAAAAACGATGGGGGAAAAGAAAAAAAGGAGGGGGGAGGGCCTGAAGAAAGAGGGGAAAAAAAGTGTAGCTTAATGTAAGGAAGTCTTTAATGCTCTACCTCTCTTTCAGTCCCTTCTGTGCTCTTCTCCTTGTTGGTATGCTGTGGAGTCGATCTTGACCCACAGCGACCCAGTATAGGATTTCCAAGGAGCAGCTGGTGGGCTTGAACCACAGTCCTTGCAGTTCAAAAGGCTTTTCAATCAGCCTCAGCAGGACTGCTTTGTTATTGGTGGTAAACAACTACTCAAGGGTGTCTCAATTTGGGCTGGCCTGTGCTCTTGAATAAGGCAGGCTCTAATCACACACACACATACACACACACAAAGGGGGGGCAGAAGAAAGAGGAAAAAAGCGTGGCTTAATGTAAGTAAATCTTTAGTGTTCTAACTCTCTTTCAGCCCCTTCTGAGCTCTTTTCCTTGTTGGTATGCTGTGGAGTTAATTGTGACCCACAGCCACCCAGTATAGGATTTCCAAGGGGTAGCTAGTGAGCTCGAATCACATTCCTTGCAGTTCCAAAGGCTTTGCTGTCTGGCGCATTAACCCACAGAATCACAGCAGGACTCCTTTGTTATTGGCATCTCAGCTTGGGCTGGCCTGGGCCTTGATGGGCGGGCCTGAGGCTCGGAGGCTAGGCAGAGGGCTGGCCTAGGCCAAAAAAGCTGAGGGCTGGGGCAGGCGGAAGGCGCGGCTGTGTCTAATGATATCTACAATGCCTCTCTCTGTCTCCCTGTGCCATGAACACCCCAATTTTCCCTATATCCATGCTGACAATGCCCAACGTGGCAACGAGGCCCCCCCTGGGATGGATCACGCTAATTCCTGTGGCCCCACTAGCTCTCCGGGAGCATCTGCCCTCTGAAAGACTCTGCTCAAGCCCTGAGCTCCACGCTCTACAATGGGCAGGGCAGTCCTCAGGGTGGGAACTAAGCGCAGGCAGGTAGAGGCTCAAAATGCTTGTAACTCCTCAGCAGTTTGATTTTTTAAAAAAGCAAACTCATAATGTTAAGGCCTAATATTTTATGTTTGCCCCAAGGCTGTCTGTCTACCAGGCCATGGCCTCCCTATGCAATTGTTGTTGTTGTTATGTGCTGTCGAGTCGGTTCCGACCCATAGCGACCCTGCACAGGGTTTCCGAGGGTGTAAATCTTTATACCACCCCCGTATTCTCCGGAGCCCTTGTACCTGTGCTGCCCGGTCAGGGAAGCGCCGGAAGTCCTCGAGCTCATTATCTTTTAATTCCACTTTTCAACCAACTTTTTGAAGAACCCCCCTCATAACTTATTCCAAAAATCCTCTTTCATTATTACTGTTTCCTAATTCAGAATGCTGTGTTGTGTTTTTACTTTTATATGCTGTGTGCATTCAAATCAAGAGGGTAGGTGTTGGTTTTAATTTGTTTAAAATATGTTTGACATACAAATTGAACATCCTAGTAGAGATGTATTTGGAAATGTGAAACTGAGGTGGGAAAAAATATCTAGATTAGAGAACATAGACCTGGACTTCACTAACAGCAGGAGATGTTGAAGTCCTGTGTTTATCAACTGAGAAAGAGGATCAAGGACATGGGGAGGCCTGCATTGATTCAACAGAGGAGTCTCTCGTGTCATAGTTGCTAAGGAGGAAGAGAGTTTCTAGGATGCGTGTATTTGAATTATTCATTGTTCCTTCCCTTTCTGTTCAAATAATCTAGAATGGATTGTTGGATTATTCTTAAGTAAATAATGATAGATTTACTTAACCTATTATATTTTTAGTTCCTTAGGAGAAAGAAAGAAGCTGCTTCATTATATCCAAAGCCTGAGTCAAACAGAAATTGTTACAATGAAGGTAAGAATCTGATTTTATTTCATGGTTTTAAATATAAATATAAAGTAATGTAACTCAGTCATGTAAAATTTCTTTTAAAAAGAATGAAAGAAAATCTGCTTCTGGGCAGTAGTATTGTGGGTAATGTAGATCTTTTTACTTTTCTAAGTTGCAACTTCTAAAATGAGCAGAGTATTTAAATTTTTTTTTAAAAGACTAAAATATTGTAAACATACAGAAAAGCACAAATAGACTACCACCCAGCTTGTCAAATCTGAACTTTATGCTTTACTTGCTTTAGACTCCTGTTTTTAGAGCAAATGTTAAAAACAACTAAAGGCCTTCTTTCCCTCTTATTTTCATCCTTCCTTTCTAGAAGTAAGTATCATCCTCAATTCAATGAGTATTTTTATACTTTTACTATATATTCATATTTATATCCATAAACAATGTGTAGTACTGTTTTACATCTTTTTAAAACTTTATTTAAAACGTATTGCACCATAAGTAACCTTCTAAGACTTTTCCATTTAACATTTTATTTTTGAGAAGCATTCATATTGCTGTATATAGCCCTAGTTACCCCTCAGTTGGAGTCCTGATATGGCGCTTTAGAATCAGCACTGAACCTGAAGGTCACTTTGATCCACAAGGTTGGCAGTTCAAACTCATCAGGCACTCCTTAGAAACAGGGTCTTCATCAGTCAGAACCAACTCAGTAGCACTTAACAACAACAACTCCTCAGTTGGGAACTTTTGGTGTGGCATTGTAAGATAATCACTGGACTGTGAACCACAAGGTTGGAAATCATTCAATTGAGATTCTACCTTCCCCTGCTCTGTCTGGAACTAGGCTCCTTCTTGAAAGCTTGTAAGCCAGTCACTTCATGCCTTTGTAGCGGCCCTCTCACACACACACCCCATTTTGGGTAGCCAATGTTTTAGTTGACCATCCCTGTCGATCCTGTGTACCAATGGGGTGGGAGTAATCCTTGCTGTAATGATTTCCAACCTGTTGGGACGGGGCTAATGAAAGGAGATGGGGATCAGACTCTTGTGGTACAAGAGTGAATAATTACTATCAGGACTGACTGTGAGGGTCAGAAATGTAAAGGTAGATGTTTTGTAACAAAAGGAGGG